GCTAGGCTAAGCTAACGGCAGACTAACTGAATGCTAGGCTAAGCTAACGCTGGCCTAACTGAATGCTAGGCTAAGCTAACGGTGGACTAACTGAATGATAGGCCAAGCTAGCGGTAGACTAACTGAATGGTAGGCTAAGCTAACGGCGGACTAACTGAATGCTATGCTACGCTAACGGTGGACTAGCTGACCGATTCGGGCGCAGATGGTCATCAGCATGTCGCTGACGATCTTGGAGTCGTCCACCATGACGGTTTTCACGGTGCCGTCCAGCATGCGGATCTTTAAGGGCCTCTGCTTCTTCTTGTACTCCAGAGTGTCCTGAAAAGGAACAAAGAGGAGGTCGAGTGTTTGATGGAGAGCAGATTCTGGATGTCACAGACTGTGTTCATGTCACTTTTTAAAAAAAAAATGTATTTCTTTATTGAGCAACAGCAAAACAAAGACTCAGAGGACATTTTAAAACAATTTTCAGAAAAAAAACACTTTCCCACAACCCCATGTTTAAGGGTAAATGAAAGTAAAGTCAAATTACAGACTAAGGAACAGGAAGAGAAAGGGAAGGGGAAAAGGGAATAGAAATGAAAGAACACAAATACTAATAACCTAAAGAAAAAATAACCCCCTTTAGATTTTTAATCTAAAGGGGATAAAAATAAATAAATAAACAACTCAGACTTGGGGCAAAACATGTGTCTGAGGTCAGCAATCAGCTCCCACTGTGGAGGAGCAACTCACATTTGCTGAGTCACCGTTTTATATTTGTAACATCGCTGATCAGTTAATGAATTCGGGTTTGTGTGTGTTGACTAAACCTGAGCCTACAGCCGCTCAGCTTGGCTGTTTTTTTAATTAGTCAGCAGGAAACTACAGAATTACCACACAAACCAAACCACACCACACGTGTTAATCAGACTCTCATGAGAACCTCCTGCCTCCAGGTATGCGTTTGTTAGACCTAGAGACGTCTGAGCACGTCTGGAATGACTCACCCCGTTTCTCAACATGTAGTAGTCCAGGGCCTTCCCAGCCTCCAGCCAGATGCCTTTCTTTGGGTCCTCATCAGACAGGAACAGCCCATAGTCAATGGCTACAGAATGAAACACAAAGTCACTGTTTGTGATAAAACTGGTGCAGAGAAAAGGCTGCCTACATCAACTTTCCTCTGGTAGAGAAACTTCTTTGGTTTCTTCACTGTAAATCATAAAGAACATCTGTCCACCAGGCTGTTAGTAACAGGAAACACTCAGAGAAACCTCAAGAATAAAACCTGTGTTATGTTTGTTTAGACCTGGAGTTTTTGATCTGTCATGCTCCTAAAAAACACCGTGAAAATCTGAATAAATACACAGAACACCACAAGTAGCTCCAGCCTGAGAGCAAAGAGCCAGGAGCTCTTTATGGATGATGGAGCTTGACTCTGTTACATATATTTGTGTGAAGGATTTTAAATCTATTCTGGATTTCGGTGAAGACTTTTCTGTTTACTTCAAATCCAAACTCTCTCTGTGAAACATTCTGCTTTCTATTATTATATTCTAACAGAACAATGAACAATTAAGCAGTAAAAGCAACAGTAACACTAAAAGTGTGACCAAAACTATGTCCAGCCTTTTGTTATGTCAAAGTTAGAGTGTAACCAGGAAGAGGGGGTAAATAAAGAGGTAGGGACCAGAAACTGTACCCAGAACTCTGTAGTGTACTCATACTTCCAGGCCCGTCCCCTCAGAGCTGGAGGGAGCTACCGGCCTGACTGTCCATGTAAAAACAGTGGACCAGGATTTCTCTCCAGAGGCTGAAGTGAGTGTGTGGACTCACGCTGGCCGAGCTGGGCCTCGGGAACGCGCTCTCTGATGATGCGGCAGGCATCGTACACCATGGTGGAGGGCTCAAACTGCATGGTTTTCACCACGTTCCCCACTCCGATCTTCAACGACAGGGCAACCATGACTGCTGCTCTGTGCCTCCACCAAACTCACACCTGGATCAGAAAGAAGACAGAGAGAAGGAAAGTTAGCATGCCCAAAGTCAGATCAGGTTTAGTGTGGCGACAGGATCGAAGCAGTGACTAAACCCAAACCCCAAAACAAGACATCTACCTTCTGGATCCCTGAATTAAGTGACAGAACTAAGGCAAAACCTTTTCCAACTCTAACTTGTGTCATTGGGGTGTATGAACATGGCAGTTAATACCGGAAAAACAGCCTGCTTTGGAGGAGAGTGTCACAGAAATGTTAACATTTCTGCTTTTTTTTCTTCTATTTTATCATATTTCACTGAAGTATTCAAGTAAACAAAAGCTTCCATGGAACAAGACGATAGTCAAGTCAGGTCAAATTCTTCATGTATGAAACTATTCAAAGCGCTTTGCATTAACAAAGCTTTATAGTAGAGACCGGAAGAAGATAAAAAGAAAAAAAAAATGAAAACAGAAAATAACTCAAACACAAAAGATGAAAAAGCAGCTATCTAATAAGTTCAAAGATAGCATGCAGGTTTTATGCATAGACACACGAGAAAAGGAATGTTTTTAACCTGGATTAAAAAATGTTGACACTTGGTCTTGAGTTTTTTTTTACTCTCTGAACATATCAGGAAGTAGTAGTATCTGATAAACAAATGCAAATGAAAGTGGTCGATAGAGAATTTCTGTGTATCAAAATACTCTGTAAGAGACTAAAATGTAGTAGCCATTAGTTAGCTAACAGCAGGAAGAAGGTAAAAAAATAAGAATCTTATAAAATTCACCATTAAAATGCAAACAGAATTGATTTCCTCAAACTAAAGTTGTCTGCACTTTTTATGTGGCGTCAAATGAGGATAAGATACAACGTACAGATCAAAATAAATAAATTAAATAATAAAAATAGAGAGCATGTCTGGCCGTGGTGTGTTTCTGTGTGAGCAGCGTTTCTTATTTACAGACGTGTTGTCTTTCTCTTTTTTTGTATTTTTTCTTTCTCTCTCTGTCTAAAGGGTCTCTCTCCTTTCATCGCTCTTCTGTCATTATTGAACACATAAGTTTGGTAATTAAATGAATAAATAAAGCAGTTTGGGGTAATCAAAGAAGCTTTTTTCTCACCAAAAAAGCTAATTAATTCAGCATAAAACGGAACTCAGATTCCACTTCTGCTGCAACAATACTGAACAGGACGAGATAAAGAAATAAATGAATTTTAATAAAAATAGAGAACGTGTCTGGCCATGTGGGTTTCTGTGAGCAGGAGGTGTCTCCAGCTCTCTTCATAGTTTTCAAGCGTGGAATAAGTGGAAAAAACAACAACTATGAGACAAAAAAAGTGAGCTGCACCCCCCCCAGGTTTCTGTTTGCTCTCCTGGTCCAGGGCAGCCATGACTGAACCACTCATTTCCCAAGCACATGACAGCTCCTCCTCTTCCTCTTCCTCACTCCTCCTGTGTGACTCAGCACCCTCCCTCACAACTGGGGCTGCGTTTGGCCCGTACCACTCTGAGGTCCTCAGTCAGGTCTGAGCAGGAGTTTGCTTCAGAGAATAGAGGAACTGACAGCAGATGTGCCAACGCAGACTCTGACACCCTGAACTCTAATTCCTGCTGACTCTGTGACACTTTTGGTTCCTCCTTTATGTCGCTCACTCTTTAAACACAGAGGACCTCTCAGAAATCAGCCTGTAGGATGAATAATAATAATCACAGAGAGAATAAACCTAAAGGGAAACCTTTGCTACCTTACATCCCAAGTACCGACTCTCTCCCTCTTTTCAAAACAAAACTCAAAACCCACCTGTTTAAGATTTCTTACCCACTTCAGCCCCTCTAACTCCAACATTCCCCTCATTCTGAACAGTTTTATTCATTTAATTTGTATTTAATTCGTTTCTGATGTTTTTATTATGATGTATTTATGAGTTTGTATGTTTTCAACGTTGTTTTGATGATGATGGTCTTTGTAAAGTGTCCTTGAGTGGCATGAAAGGCTCTTTTTAAAAATAAAATGTGTTATTATTATTATTATTATTAAATGAAGCAGGGAGAGTCCATGTTCTGGCAAACAGAGTGTTTTGAGACCTGCTCCTACTAAGTGAGGCCATGTCCAACATGCTGCATCCTGTGAGCCCCAACAGGCTCAGATCCGTGCACATCTGCTAGCAAAACCTCTGCTAACACTCCTACAATGTGTGTGAAAGGCTGTGAGTCCTGGATTTATCTTAGATCAAGTGGTTTTGGTTTTTAAACCCAGTTAACAGAGTGTTGATGGTGTTCAGACTGTGGAGGCTGAAGGAAATACCTGAAGTGAACTAATGTTTTGTGAAGGCCTTCCTGTCCCCTCTGATGATGAATTCTGGCTGAACTGCTCCTAAAAAGAGAGAGAGGCCGCATTACAAACCATGTCATTGTGCAGTTTTCCGTGGGCCCACATATCGAGCATTCTCTGGAGCAGCTGGAAACCATGCCTGTAACTTAGGAGCAGATTTACTCATTCAACAACTTCATTCATTCTACTCTTTACTGGTTTGAGTTTCAGAGGAGGGTTTGACAAAGTCAGACGTCTCACGCCTTTGAAATGACAGGATTCTTGTGAGATCAGATGTCCTGATACCATTTCCTGTTTTAGGCCCTTCGATGCCATAAAAGGGCATTTCAGACATCTGTCTGCTCCCAGCTATGATTCAGCTGGGAGCTCTGAATCCTGTCTGCATTCTGGGGAAGGTCACTTTGTTTGGCTCCCGGAAAAGATTCAGGCCTTTAGACGAGGTGCAAACCCCCCTTTGAAACAGCTCTCTTTTTTACTGTTAGCAAACACAGAAGTGAGGGGACTGTAGCCGTGTTTTATCCAGTTTAACTGATCTCAGGTCAGAGGGGGGGGGTCTCTGACCGGATATCTTGCAGCAAAAGTCTGCAAACCTTTGAAATTGTGCCTCCCAGTCCACCCAGAGGAAGTGCAGAGTCACAACAGTAATTACTGTAGTTAGTGAGGAATGAGGAAGAGAGCTCTGAAGGATCCCAAACACCCGGCGGGAGAACGCATCTGCTCAGGGTCCTCAAATCTAACTCCTCTGCTCACAGCACCAGTCCAAGGGCCTCAGATCAGGTCTTAAATCCAGCTCATGTGTAGGCTCAAACTTGTTTCATGTGCAAACAAACTGCAGAAGCTTAAGAGCATTTTGTGGGGAGGGGGCGGAGCTTCATCTCAGCTCAGAGATCTTTTTTCCCTCTTTAAGGGTTTTCTGCACAAACTGACAGCAGCCAGCTGTCGTCCCCAAGCCAAACATCCGGCTTGTCTCCTGCCGGGAGATAGGGACCGCCACAAACTATCTGCTGGCCTTCAGGCCGGGGGGGCAGAGGCTTATCTGTAGGGACACCAGCACACATCACTACCACTGCTCCTCATATTCCTGCGGTGGAAAATATCACAAACATTCATTTTACCAAGCAAAACATCCCCTGGATTGGTCCATCTTTTACAAGGCTTAAATGCATTTTAAAAAGTGACTAATTCCTTCACACAGACAAACAGAATCCTCTTAAACAGGAGCAAAGACCTGCCACTAATCATCCCATCTGCATCCAGAGCAGAGTCCCATAGTTTGTCATTTCAGACGTCCAGAAGGGAAGAGCTCCATCATGAACTCTGATGAGGATTTAGAAAATGTAGCCAACTCAAAAAGCTTGTGTGTGACGAGTTACAACCAAACGAACCTACTAACGTGTGTGTGTTAACTCTATCATTTAGGAGGGGAAACCCCCTAAAACCAGCCGTCTGCCAGCCACAACATGACCCGGAGCTCAGCCTAGTCCCACAGACGCTGGATCCCTGAACCCTGACCCAGTTCACCAACACCTGGACTCAGAGGCCGGATCACAACATCTGTTTCAACCTCCAAAGACTTGTAAATGACAGGTTGTAAATGACATGAAAGACATCAACAGGCTGGTGGCCCAGGTCAAAGGTCAACTAGACAATCTTATTATAGTATTGGTATGTTAAGATGCGTATTAGACGCATATATTTCATATTCTGTTACCATTTTTTGTTCCCTTTTTTCCCCTTTCTTCATCATCCAGGAGCACCTTTTATTTTGACTTTGTCTGACTTTGTGTTGTAGGCTTTTATTTTTTGCATATTATAACATGCAAGCTTTGTACCGTATTTGTGTAATCGTTTAAATAAAAAACTTAAATTACAAAAAAAAAAAAAAGGGCAACTAGACAAGTCCTACAAGCAAGAGCCAGAACAACTGGACGACTTGTTCCTCCTCATCTGAGGGGCAGAAATTATCTCCAGTTGCCTTTTGTCTCAGCTCTCAGGATTAGGAGGAGCCCTCTTTGGGCCTGCAGGTTTTGGAGGTTCCCCTGTTTCTACCCACCTGATTAAAATCAAAGAGCCGTTAGCAAATCTCAACCACGTCCAGAGGAGATCCAGTTTAACCAGAATCAGGAGTGCAGAGGCAGGAAAAAGTCTGAAACCTGCAGGACTGGAGGAGTTTGGGACCCCTGGTTTAAATGACTACACACAGAGGGCAAAAGGCCTTTCTAATAAATGCATTAGCAGGAGGAGAGTGACTCAGCTGCCATGTGATAATGTGGTTTTGTCCAACTGAATGCAATTAGTTCAGTTAGCACGTTTCCATGTGGCGGGCAGATAAGGAGCGGACGTCCAGACGTCCTCCAACAGCATCTTTTCTAAGATACAGTTCATTATTTATATACAGAAAGACTGAGCCTGTCCCTAAAGTTTGGAGTAGGGACGTCCCCATCCCGCTTTCTGATCCGATCCCGGCCTATCAGAGCCTGTACTAAAGTCTAAAGTTATTTATCTACTTACTTAGTTGTCAAATCTGGATCTGGAGTCTGGATCTGTATTTTTTCCCCTGCCGGCCGATACTCAGTTTTTTGCAAATATTGGCGAGCGATCGGATCCAGATATGGGATCGGGACCAGCCTAGTCTGGAGGTTCCCAGAATAAGTGGGCAGAGTAAACCCCACAGAGGAGGTGAACATCTCAGCCTGTCAGTTGAGCTCTGCAGAGTTCTGGGGAGGCCATGAACACCACACCGAGCTGCTCACACATCCTGTGTGACAGCAGCTCTGCAGAGCAGCCTCCAGACCACTGCAGCAGCTAACAGAGCTAAAGACAGAGAGGTGTGATCCACCCGCCTTTGTGTTGAGCTTCTCAGACTTTTCTTTGACGTGAAAAGCAAAAATAAGCTGTTAGGTCCTAAACCCACACAGTTTATGAACATATCTAATCCATCTCATATGCATATTTATGTATATACAGCAGAACCTCTACTTATGATGCCTAAACATATGAATTTTCAAACATCCAAAGTGAAATTCGATCAAATATTCGACACCCGAAGTAAATTTCCAACAGGATGTCGAAGTCATAGAAAAGTATATGTAAATACATAATTAAATCAAAATACATAAGCTCAGTTAAGTAGTAAAAGTAGTAAAGTCAGAGTAAGTTAGGGTACGTCCTGTATCTCAGTCTCTACCTGCCAATAAAAACCCTTTTTATTGATTATTTCTTTATCGTTTATTTCTTTTTCCATCTCTCTTCTAGAAGTCATTTGTTTTCTTGCTATGTGTAATTATCTGCAGTATTTATTAAGGAGTTATCATAGGTTTTTGGAACCAATTGTAGGAATTACAGTGGATTCTAATGGACCAACAAAGCCATATTTTAACATAGGAAGTCGGTCCTGGAACCAGTTAAACTCATATGTAGAGGTCCTGCTAGCTAGATATCTCTAATACTCAAACACCAACATGTGGAAAGAGGGAGGCTGGATTCAGACTTATGTCATTGGCAGCTAACATAAGAACTTGCAGCCAATTCCAAAATCAACACAGAGGTTCTGTGGCGGAGGGAACATGTTCGAAACTGAAGTCCAGTAAAGCCGAGCAGTCCAGACTGTGGGCATCTGCTCAGATACACATCGCTTTCTGTGATTTAGAGCAGCAGAAATAAACCAATCCAAATACATTCAGGCCGCCGTCTTATGTCACAGCACATGTTCAGAGGCCTCTGGGCATTTTAGATAGACATACTTTATCTATCCCAAGCTGGGAAATAGCATTTAACAGCCTGCAAAGCAGCCAACTTCCACCTGTACGAAGAGGAAACGGCCAGAGAGAGAGAGAGGGTTAGTGGCCCTCATCATTACCAGGAGGAAAAGGCTCTGAATGCCACAGCTATGCTGATGCACACGGATAATAAAGTGTAGGACAGGGCTACCACGGCCTGTCTGAGCAGGTGTGGTAGCGTTTTAATACACTTCCGACCGGATTTAAAGACAGTCGAGCTCATCTCTTGGGAACAACCACCCATCAACCATTTTACAAACCATTTGATATGAAATCAGAAAAGAAATACATGATTCAAATCACCAAAACCATCAAATATATGCAGTTACCTTCCACTGCACTTTAATTCGGATAGCTTCTGTCCAAACTTTGTTTATTCTGTTTGTAGTAATAGCCATCTGTATATATACTGTATTCTTAGTACATATTGAGCTGTAAACTCTACTATAGTAACAACTATCTGTATGTTATGTTCTGGTACATATCTGTTTATGATTTCTTACCCACTTCACCCCCCTTACTCTAACATTCCCCTCATTCTGCACAGTTTTATTCATTTATTCATTCATTTCTGATGTTTTTATTGATAATGTATTTATGACATTGTGTGTTTCTTATGTTTTAAGGTTGTTTTAATGATGATCGTCTTTGTAAAGTGTACTTGAGTGGCATGGAAGGCGCTTTTTAAAAATTAAATGTGTTATTATTATTATTATCTGTAAAAACTCTATTTATAGTAGTATGCACCTGTGTATTACATTCAGTACAATTCCTCCCCTCTGGTCTGACTGAACACAGACTTTGGCTCCGGTCTAAAACAAATGATTTCTTGTGCTGGAGCTCTGGTAGCATGTGGATTCAGCCAAATATGGCCGAGTCAGGAACCAGGCAGGCTTCCTTAACTGGAGATGGATGGGGGGGGGGCAGCAAACATGGAGGAGGAAAACAAGCACATAGCACATTCCTCATCCAACAAAAAACAGGTGGTACTCTATTAGGACAAAGGGGGTGTACTCTGTATACTGAAAAAACCTTTAACACAGCCCTAATTTGATCATGTGACACTGGAACACAGTTTAATTAAAGCAATATTTATTATTAATTGGATGGAGACTGACCCCCCCACTCTCACTCAGTGGATACAGGAAGTTAAACATGTTTACAGGATGGAATATGTGAATTTATTACAATTGAATTACAGCTAAACGGGCCTGTTTTTAATCTGTTTTTTAGGTGGAACCAGTAACTGGATATCTTACTCTGATACACTTATACTATATCCAGCTATTATTATTATTACTATTATTATTATGATGGCTTCTTTAAATTTAAATCCCAATTTTTATTCATTTTATTTTTTTAATTAACTTTCTATGTTTACCCTGTTTTGTTCTGTTTTTCTTTGTGATACTAAATGCCTGTTAATTTGCATTAAAGGCAATAAAGTTTTGTTTTAAAAACTCTGTCCCAAATACACACCTCTGTCCACACACCCCTGTGTCCCCACACACACTACTGTCCCACACACACACACGGGGTTCTTCTATCAGATACCGAGCACAAAGAGTCCTCACAGGGTGTTGGTGTGTACATTTACCGCACTGATGATCACAGAAACAAAGAGTGGACAAGTGCTTTTAGATCAATAACGGGCCAATAAGCGGTCAGACTGGAGAGCTGCTCACTGCTGGTGATCTCACAGTTTGTCACCAGCGTTCACAGGATGGACAGGCCAAAGTCCGGCTATGAAAAGAAAATCCAGGATAGGATCCAGGTCTTCCAGATGACGGTGGCCTTTGCTTTTATCTGTCCCATGCTGACAATCTGGAGGAAAGGACCCAGCTGAAAGGGAGCTCAGGCCAGTCCATAAAGTAGTTTTTCTCACCTATTTAACAAACCAGTGTTTTCTAACACATTCCTTTCACATTTGATTAGAGGAAAACTCCCCAGCACATGCAAACATCTGCCTTTATCAGCAGCATGTGAGTTAACCTGCACTCAGCTGCACATCCAGTAAAGGCTGCGGCCATCATGGGGTTTTAATCAGCTCCAGTGGAGTGTCCAACCAACACCTCACAGAGACACACAACCACACACACTCACACTGAGGGCAGTTTGGAGTCCAGCCAACCTAACATGCAGGTTTTTGGACGGTGGGAGGAAGCCGGAGAACCCGGAGAGAACCCACAGACACAGGAGAACATGCAGACTCCACCCAGAAAGGTCCTGGTTCCCCCGGGACTCCAACCCAGAACCCTCTGGTCCTGGT